CAGGAAGACTTCAGCACAAAGTAATGAGCGCAATACACGAGTAAGGTGTAATTTTACCATTCTAAGGTGCAGGAAGAACAATATCAAGATGTGTGTTTTTTAAGAAAGCAGGTAACAGCATGACTTTGGCAGTAGTAATGATAATTAAATGTACGATCTTGTGTTTACGCAAAATAAGCATTTTGTTGAGTCTTTATCGTGAAAGGCGTGTATTAATAGCCACGACCTTAAATTCGTCCGTTTAAAATAATCCATTCTTAGACACGGGATTCCGTTAGAGCTACCTGTATACAAATACCTGAGGACGGTTGGACGCGCGCACTAGCGGGTCATAACTTTGGGGAAATAGGCATAGCAACTCGCCATAGCTCAAATTTGTATTTTCTACACGAATGTGAAAGTGTCACTGCACAAAAGCAAATCTGCATACAGATTTCTAGAATATACATTGACATTTAACATGTTCCCTTTGTACTGTGATCAATTTAGTGTATTGAATAGTATCCATATACATAAAATATGGAATCAGTTTGACTGTTCCTAAAAAAATAAACATATAAGAGCGACACAGCCATCTTTTTATTTCAAAGTACTGTTTAATCGATAAATATACATTTCATGGTTTGTAAGGATATTTGTACAAAGAAGGTTTTTCGCTATTGCTTTTGTTACAACGAACACATTAAGTTGTAAAACCCTGATTTCCTGTCACTTCCCCGGTACACGTGACATCGCGTCCGTTACTGACACCTATGCGAAAGACAGATTGATTGCCGATGGAGAGACGTACTTCCTGGGAGAATCCGCCCTATTATGAATATCTACCGAAATGATAAGTCCGTCAGGGCCCTGGTGGACAGGCGCGCGTTATGCACACGGTTATGTCCTTCCTTACTGACAAGGCGGTCACTTATGAAGCCAGAACGGAAAGGAGATATCTGATAATCTATCTATGAGGAACACGAACGATACCTCAGTGAATACTACTGTCTTTTGTTGTTTGGCCGTTATTAAGGTGACAGTTATGGTGACAAATTAATCTTAGTCAAACAAGAACGAACTAATTACCAGCCTCTAATACAAGTCTCTCCCTAATAACAAGTCGGTGGAGTTCGGAAATGAGACGGAGCAGGACGACAGGGCGTGTCAATCCTTATATGGTATGACGGTCTCGGTGATAAGTCACGGTCACGTTTGGTGGTTAAAGCTCTAATACATGATGATTAAAGTCGACCTGTCATAATCTGAGTCATACGTCATGTAAAACGAAAATTCGTAAGTAAGCAGACGCATGCATCAATTTGCAGGACAGGAGAAACGTGTAAGCGCCATCTTCTGGCATACGTCAGCATACTATAGTGGTTCTGCAACGTTTGCGAGAGCGCAGTGCAATTGAATTTCAGATGGCGGATGCCATTTATTTATTCGAGTTTGTAGCGCTTATTTATTGCACAATGCATTACACACAGACAAATTTGCGAGAAGTGCTCTTATTTTGCGCTCGAATACAACCAAATAAAGGAGGATTGGTATCAAGCCCGACAGAGGCTTAACTGCAGCGTTCGCCGTAGATATAGGTATAAATGTGTATTTATATATGATAATTCCGTAAAATACGATTTAAACTGATGACGTGGTCTAGACTGATAAACCGTCTGAAGCCTCCTCATCTACTGGTCATGATAAACACAACTTCAAAATCCCACATTTAAAGTACTAGATGACAGCAGACAATCTAATCTTGAGACGTGAACCCCTTCAAAGTATGTAGAAAGGGTAACCGGGGCGATCTCCAATGTAATCCTTAAAGAAACCTATGACACCTTGGTATAACTCTCCCGTACTGAGAGTGAGCAACGCACATTTATGTACAAAACGTGTCTTAGCGATATAGACACAAGCTACAATATGTACTATAACATCGCTTCTATTTTGATATATTAAGAATAAGATACAAATTGATCGCGAATTCAAATGTCTCATATGTTATTTAAATCATCGAGAAAGTGATGTTAGCAGAATAGACGCTTAATCAAATATTTACGATAATGATTTCAAAATAAAACCCGGCAAAGGTGCGGAAATATATTTGTAGATCTCAAATATAGTATAAACTACTTCAAGTATCAATAATTCATTGTCAACGGCATAAATTTAAATCCATTAAAACATCTTCTCGTTACATAATCATTTTAGTCGTAAAACTTTTAATTTCACTTGAGAAAATAGCACTATTTATGTTGGTTCTAAAAACATAATTATTCATGGGTAAATGTTATCCCTAAATCTCGAAATAAAAATTGATAACTAAGACAATATCATACCTACATTTTTTGTGTGTGATTCTGAGGAAAATGTACTGTTTATATGTCTCAGACTTGACGTCTTTAGGCATACACTGCTTGAGTGACGTACCGGATTAGGTTCCCATAGTACCCCTTGTCACTGCATTCACGACTTTAAGGACAGGGATAAATAGATCCCTCTTCTGTGTCATGTGTCATACAATTCGTTCGCAGTGACTTAAACAGTTAAAATCCTAAACATCTGTCATCATAAAAAGCCGCAAGCATGAAAGCGAGACACATACCCATAAGTCCCTAATGCTACTTCCGTGTCTAACGTTGCACTCTCGTAATGTCAGATGCACCGGAGCGAAGTTAAATGTCCGCTAGTTACTTCAATAACCGCCAATAAAACCTTATTACTAGCTACATGATCCATTTCCAAGAGTTTCCCTCCAATGACAAAATAAATATATAAAACAATATATAAAACCTAATAAACTAAGAAGCAACAATATGTCGATTGTTTTGAAGATACTGATGTAAATTATTTGGTTTCGCTTAAATGCAACATCTTTTTTTCTTTTTTTCTTAATTTTGCAAAAATATTATTTGAATATACCCATACCTATTTACTCATTTATGTTGCTTTGTAAGTGTTATAGCGACATAACTAAACAAGACATGGAGGCATCAAAAATCAATCTTATTTATTGTTTCTTTCAAAATTAAACAGTTTCAACTTTTAGAAAAAAACACATATTTATATAGGGGTCCCAAGGTTTACAAGTATGAAGGAGAGAAGGTGGAACTGTTGGGTAGACTCAGTGACATACACACCCATAACTCTAGTATTCATCTAGTTATTCGGCTCTAGATACTATGACTGACCATAAAATGAAACATTGTAATCTATATAATCAGCTATATAAAGTAGTGTTAAAGGAATGGAATTTAATAAAGAAGTTTTAATTTTAAAACCTGTAAACGGCATGATATCTGACCTTCGATACAGACTATTTCACAGATGAATAGGCGCTTAAGCTGTTTTGCCTTGGTGTGAAAATGTAAAAAAAAAATATAAGTACATATTTTATCTGTTTGTAATCTCCAAGAAGGAAACACAGCGTTAAAAAATCAGATATGTTATCCCGACAGCCTGCGGCGATGTATCTCTTTCAACGACAATAACAATAATATCTGTCCAGTGACAACCAATCCTGTATTTTACAACCTTGCTAGACAGCTGACCAGAGAGTCTATTTTCTCCTTTCCGTCGGATTAAGGGATTTCTTTCCCTGGTCAGCAGACGTAGTCACTGAGGAGCTCGAGGGGTATATGAACTGTCAGTTGCACATAGTCCTTAAATAGATTTATCCTGAAGGGCAGGACATACGTCAATTATATAAATATTTTATACTTTTTTGGTCCTATTTGTTAAGAGCTATGGCGGATTGCTATGCATATTTCCACAAAGCTATTTCTATTTCAAAATACGTTACCACAGTCATTTTAATGCATATTCCAACCTTACTTGGCTCTTTACATACGTAAATAAAATAAATAAATAAAAGGAACCCCTGGAAAACCCACCAATCAGACGGCAGTATTCACGCACGTGATCAGACACGAAGCCATGCTTCCCACTTCATAATTCCAAAGCCCAAAAAAGTGAGAGCCAAGGAGACAAGGGGAGGCTGGGAGGGAACTCACCTCATGACTGTGGTAAGTATTTATAATAGAAATTGGTTTCACAAGAGAAATCTCAATTCTATTTCAAAATACGTTACCACAGCCATTATAATGCGAATTCGACTTACCGCAGTGGTGTCTCCGTGGAGCGATGAAGGGTTCCAACAATAGGACCCATACCCCCGGAGGAAAAATTCAAAATACTTTTTCTTTTGTGACACAGAGCCTGATTACGACCAGCGTTCCGGATCACGCGGAGAAGACATAATGAGGGTTATGCAAAAGAAGAGAGAGGACAGACAACGGATTGGGCAGCCACAATAGGGCCCAAAGAATACAACCCGTCAGACTGTCCTGACAAAGATCGGAGATAGAACTCCGTAAACGTAGAATGACCCTTCCAAACAGCAGCTGTCATGACCTCAGCGTAAGAAGAACCATTAAATAAGGCCCACGAAGTAGCTAAAGCGCGAACCTCATGAGCCCTAACCCCTGTCACCCGCAAGGACTGATCCCCTGCCGACTCATACGCAGCTCGAACAGTCTGAACAATCCAGCACGAGATGCTCGCCGCAGAGATATCGGAGCGACCGGCTGGAAAGACTGGAACAGCCGAGACGAGTGTCCCCCCCCCCCCCTCTGGCCAAGTAGTAACGCAAAGCCCGAACTGGGCAGAGCAGGCGATCAGGACAATCCCCTTCCAGAGTTGAAGCCAAAGAAGGTGCTAAATTCCACCTAGGGACCAATTGCCGTGAACGAGGCTTCTCAATGTAGAAGCCCCTAATGAGAGCAGACAATGAAGCGTCCGAGCCCACAGACTTGTTACCATAGAAAGCCAGCACGCTAGCAATGACTGAACGATAGCCTGCAATAGTTCCTGGAGACAGACCTTTGTCTTTGAACAGAGACAAAAGAAAGTCGGCTACAACGGTTACAGGGGCAGAGACTGGATCAATCGACCGTCCGACACACAAATCACCGAAGGCGGACCATCGAGATTGGTAGACGGCGGAAGACGAAGGTCTAAGTGATCCTGCGATGCGAGTTGCAACTTCTCGAGAAAGCCCCTCTGAGTGATCCTTCCCGAGATAGCATCCAACCGTGAAGGTGGAGCCGTTCTGGTCCCGAGTAGAACTGCCGGGACCTCGGTTGAGACCGGAACACCGAACGCTTGAGGGTCCATTCGGTGAGAACCGGGCTCCGAGACCGAGACAGAGTGTCGGCCAGAAGATTCAGACGACCTGGAAGGTGCCTCACCGTAAGATCGAGACTGATCTCCTGACACAGCAAAAGGACCTGGGTTGATAAAGCACACGTGCCGGGGAACGGGTGCCTCCCTGGCGCTGCAGATAAGCCACCACAGTGGAGTTGTCTGTCGCCAGACAAATGGCCTTGCCCTGCAGGGAGGGTCGAAGGCCCCAAAGGGCCAGCAGAACAGCACGCATTTCCAGAACATTGATGTGTTCTGAAAGCTGTTCCCCCGACCACACCCCTGTCGACGTCTGACCGGAAAGGTATGCACCCCAACCGGTCATGGACGCGTCGTTGTAAAAGGTCATAGCAGGAGATGACCGAACCAGAGAAACTCTCGAGAGTCCACCAACGAGCTGATTCCTTCACCGACTCCGGCAGAGGAATGTACACATCCCACTGCCGTGACACCGGAGACCAAACTGACAGAACGAACAGCTGGAGCGGACGGATGTGAAGCCGACCCAAGGGAACAACATCCGCCAGTGAATTCAGGTAACCGAGGAACCGAAGGAACCATCGAACCTGAATCCGCTCCACACCGACCAGAACGGAGACCAACAGAGAGGCCTTCTTAAACTTGGACGCTGGTGGAAGGACAAACCCAAGATCGGTTCTGAACCGATATCCGAGGAAAACAAAATCCTGGGAGGGGAGAACCTCCGACTTCTCCCTGGAAGGGATGAACCCTAGGCGGCACAGAAAGCCCAGAACCGACCTCGTGCTCCGGGACAGGATAACGGGATCCACTTGGAGCAACAGGGAGTCGTCTAAGTAGATGGGTGCATCTACCCCGAGACTGGGGAGGTGCCCCACTACTACCTGCAACAACTTGGTGAAAACCAAGGGGCCCGTAGTGAGGCCGAAGGGCATAGCGCGAAACTGGTAAACCTTCTGCTCAAAAGTGAACCTGAGAGACTTCCTGGCCGACCTCCTGACAGGAATGTGAAAGTAAGCATCCTTCAGATCGATGGACGTAGCCCACATCCCTGGACGCACTGACGCAATGATGCGTCGTGGCGTTTCCATCTGGAAGTGCGGTGAATTGACGTACGTGTTGAACGTACTGAGGTCGATAATATGCCTCCAGGCACCGGACTTCTTCTTCACGAGGAAGACCCGGGAGTAAAACCCTGAATACCACCGGTCCGGTGAAAGTTCCTCGATCGCGCCATTCACGATCATTGCCTAAACCTCCGACCTGAGAGCCTCCACCTTTCCCTGATCGGAAGGAGAAGGGAACAAGATAGGCTCTCACACCAGAGGTGGATCCCAAAGGAGCGGGATGCAGAGACCCTTGGACACAACCCCTAGGGCCCAACTGTCTGATGTGATTTCTTTCCACTGAGGAACGAAATGGGACAGACGACCGCCTACTGGCAAGTCCGAAAGGGGCCAATCTAGCCTTTCCCAAACCACATCGGCGGAGCCTACCGCGCCCAAGGGCGTGGGAGAGGCGACAGACAGTGGACAAGGAGTTACCAAGGGCAATGAAGAGTCAGGAACCTTTCTTACCTCTGGAAAATTTGGCTTTGCCTCGACCCCTATGGGAACCCCTACCGCGGAAGGAAGAGTTCCGACGTTCCGCCGGAGCGGAAGTTGGAGGGGCAGCCTGCTGCTGCAAAGCAGCCGTCTTTGCCTTCTTCCTCCTACGCCTGAAGGAGCCAGAAGCCTGCCTCTTCCTGCTAGCGCCCTGTAGTTCCAGTACTCGCGTATCGTAACCGGTATTTCCTCCTTCGTATCCGGCCAACCGGACATGATTACAGATTTCAGGATCTGCAGACACGTGTCCTGGGTTGTGTGCGTCTGGATTTGCATTAGTCGGGGCTCGCTAATGTTCAACGACTCTGTGAAATTAACCTGCTCGTATTCCATTCTACGCGCACTAGATTCCATAGAGCTCTGGAGAGGTAAGTATGCTCGGGAGAGGGTGTCAGCTACATACATATCCTTTCCTTTTGTGTATTCAACCTTCAGATTGTAAGCTTGTAATCGCAGCAACATTCTCTGTAGCCGCTTCGGTGCCGATATGAGAGGCTTCTTGAAAATGCTTTCGAGGGGTTTGTGGTCCGAGCACACGGTCACGAGTTCCCTGCCTAGAATGTATTGTTCGAATCGCTCGCACGCGAATACTATCGCAAGGCTGGTTCGTGATCAGTTTTACAACTTCCTGAAATGCGTCCTCTTGTTGTGATTGCCAGGTCCACAACGCGTCCTTAGTTGTCAGTCGACGAAGTGGTTTGATGGTCGCTGACAGACGTGGTAGGAACTTTTTTGCGAGATACGTAACAAATCCAACAAAACGTTGCACAGCCTTCGCGTCTGTGGGTTTCGGCATCTCCGTGACAGCTTGTACTTTAGCTGGATCCGGACGGATTCCATCAGAGGTTAAGAGGTGTCCCATGTATCGTACCTCGGTCTGGCGTAACCTGAGTTTGTCCCGTTTCAACTTAATGCCTACCGATCTCGCTCGCTCCAGTACGTGCCTTGGGTTCCTGTCATGGTCCTGTATCGCCTCATCCATTGTGTCTCCGCTTCCGTACACTAGGATATCATCTACGATAACCTCTGACCCATTGAGATTTTCGAACGCCTCATGCTGTGGACGCTGAAACTCTTCTGGCGCTGATGGAATGCCGAATGGCATGCGTAGCCATCGATAGCGTCCAAAGGGGGTCCAGAACGTGGTGAGGTAGCTACTCGGGTTATCAAGCGTGACATGCCAGGAACCGTCCTTCGCGTCTAGTACCGTGAAAACCTTTGCCTTCGCAAGGTTGGGTAGAATGTCCTCCGCAGTCGTCATCGGATAGTGTGACCTCTTGATCGCGCCATTCAGGTCCTTCGGGTCAATGCACATCCTAAGTTTACCAGATGATTTGCGGACAACTACCATGCTGCTGATCCAATCAGTCGGAGTGGTTACCTTCTGTACTACACCTTTATCGACCAATATAGTAATCTTTCTCAGGTTTTTCTTCAGTGCTTCAGGCACTTTCCTCAGGTGACGTTGGACTGGTTTCACTGATGGGTCTAAATTTATCCGGTATTCTCCCGGCAACTGACCCAGACCTTCGAACAGGTCTCCAAACTCAGACGTGATATCCTGCTGTGTTAATTTTTCGGCATCCACTTTCACGCAGTTGACTGGGTTGACTGTCAGTGGTCTTAACAATTCACACGCCTCGGCCGACAACAGTGTTGTCTGCTCAACATCAACTACTAGAAATTCAAGTTATCGTGTTGTCTTCCCAACACGACATTGAATGTCACACTCCCCAATGGGTTGTAGTGGAGTATTGTCATACAGCTTTAAGCGAACTTTGCTTGGTTCCATAGATGGATGTATATCCTGTACCAGCTTGACATACTCGATCCGGCTTATCAAATTACAGGTAGAGCCAGTGTCCATTTGGCAACGGATGTTACAGGAAGCACCTGTAGCGGCGGTAGCCATATTCACATCGACAAACCACTGTTTGCCATTTGTCGATTTGACATTATACAATGACTCGTCGGAGTCATCAGAGTCCTCAACCCTATATACCGCCCTTGCTCCAAAGCACATACTTTGAAAATGGTTTCGCTTTCCACATTTGTGACATGTTTGTCCGTATGCTGGACACTTATGTTTATCTCGCGCATGTGTGTCTCCACAATATGTATACTTTCCCGCTGGGGGGCGTTGATTTGATCGACGTTGATTCGGGGTGTGTTTCTTTTCCTTCCCGTCACTCCTCTCCTGTTTAGGTTTACCAGATTTATATCGAGTTTTTTACACATACTGCACCTTTTCCTCGGCAGCCTGAAATGTTTTCATTTGATTCTCAGTCATTTCACTTGTACGACATACGTCGATAGCCTTTGCTAGGGTGAGCTTTGGCTCTCGCAACATTCGAGACCTTGCTCCACTGTCTCCTGTTCCTAACACTAAGCGGTCACGGATCATGTCATCTTTCAAAATACCAAAATCACACGATTCCGATAATTTCCGAAGGCTCGTTACGTAACTGTCAACAGTTTCACTATTTTGGTGGGCTGTGCTAAACACGTATCTTTCATAAATGACGTTCGTCCGTGGTTCGAAATGCTCCTGTAAGGTATTGAGAACTTCCGCGAGAACTTTCCTGTTCTCCTCTGTGATGTCCATGTGCAGGTAGGTCTGGAAACATTCTTTCCCCATCACAGACAGAAGTGTTGCGATACCGATTTTTGCATCCCTCGTGTCCAACTCCGTGGCCGTTTGTTTTGACATCCCCGTGTATCCATTGGGGCCGGGGGCGGAATGCCTTTTGTCGCCGCCATGTCTTCCTCGTGGTCGTCGTTTGCGCAGTAAAACCACGTGGGTACGATAAGGGAAGAAATATTTGCTTCGAGTCGGAAATACAGTCCAACTTGAGACTCCTTTAGGTTGTGAAAACACTGCCGCGTTCAATGAAGTGTTCCGTCGTCGTTTGTTCGTTATTTCCGCTGCTTAGCTCGGTATTTTCATCACTTCGACCATTCTGACACCATGTAAAGAACTCAAACACAGCGTGTGCTAGGCCGACATTCAAGGTTTTTACGTCACAGCTTTCGGTGTACACAATATACAGAGTGGTACTCAACACACGTATGATGAATGACGCACAGGCCATCAAGCGAACCTACATCTGGCCCCGGTTTCATCAACGTTCCTTAACTTAAATGTTTCCTTAACTTAAAATCGCGTTTCATGAACGTTCCTTAATTTAACTTCGGAGCCTAAGCGGCCTTAAATGAACTCTTTTGGCAGCAAAGTACGGGAAAACAATATAAACAAATGATGTCTTTTCGCGGATTTCTCCATCTGTTTCTTCTTTTGTTTCTTGAAACATATTTTAGATCCTAGAAAGGGAGATCGGTTACCCTTCTTCCTCAATAAATAGTGTTGTCCATCTTGATATATCCCGATGAGAAGACGATTTAATCGGCAATTTCAAGCGGAACAGTCAGACGACAAGATTACATATTGCATTCCTAACATGTGATCAAACACATTGAATGCGTAAGTTATTTGCTTTTACGTTAGTGTGGCCTAGCTAACTCGTTAATATCCGATTAATGTCCGGGTAGAAGAGATGAAAAATACCAACTATTTTTGTCTAGAACATAAGTCTTTACTAAGTTTACTAATAACACAAACCGAGCCATCACTTGTTCTATAAATAGATCAGTTTACAAAGTGTGACGCTGTAGGCATATTATAATGTGTTTGGTTTACTGATCGCATCCTTCTTTCTATGTTATACTCCACAGAGACCAAAATGCCTTTACATGATTACTGTTTGCTCTCTGTGAACGGGAGCCCAGGCTCATTTAAAGTAGAATTAAAAACAAATATATATAAAAGGTGTGTATATAAGTCCTAGGGAAATTTAATTTTGACCTGTTAGAAATAGTTTTAAAAATTTACTGTTTTAAAATGCTCAATTTTAAACCAAAAGTAGAGAAAGTCCATATTTTTACATATTAACATGAGAAGTTAATCAATATTTCATCGAATAATTTATTCATATTCAAAATTTGGAAATTCATTGATCAGTTTTTAAATATATGACTACCAGGGTCTGAACCAAAACAGAAAACAATACCTATTTACATCAAGTATGGATAAAAACTTAATACTCGATTTGACAACTAGACTTAATTTCTTTAAACAAAATTCATATGTCAATATTGCCTACCAAAGTAATACTGTTGAAAACTCAAATCAGTTTCATTTCCATTTTAAAGGATTGCTATGCACATCTTAAATGTTTTAATATGTCAATAACTTTCTGTTAAAGAAAGAAGCTATGATGTTAGCATTGTGTTTTAATATTAGAGGGAGGAGAGAGAAACTTTCAATCTAGGATATTAATGGAATTCCCCAAATGAATTTGTGTTCAGATTTTAAAACTTTCCAGTGGTATAATATCAAATAATAACTCTTAGGTTTAAGTAGGTATACAGATTATTACATAACACACTCATGGTTCTGTAATCACCTTTATAGCTACATGTACCTCAAAACTGTTATTTGATATATTACCAATTGAAATATGTCTTCTACAGGTAGTGTTTTTCATTTCTGTTGGGAGGCAAACAAATACAGAACAAAAGCACATCTTTAAAAATATAGTTAGTTATTACGTAGGAAAAATGAAAATTACATTATGCAATAAAGA